CTTTGATCAATTTTACAATAGAAAATTCCCTGTAAAATTAGAATCTGTAAAGAAAAATATACATTTCTAATTGAATGAAGGTAGTTAACCCTCGAATAACTTTGAAGGCGCTTAATGAATGAAAACCAAGTAGATACGACAGTCATTTTTCCCCTCGAAATAATGAAATTTTTATATTTAACGTTTCTCTGAAAATATGTTTGTTTCTGAGATAGGTACTGGGACTGTTGAGTTCTTATCAAGCTTTAATAAAACAATAAAGAAGACAGGTAAGGAGATACAGTAAAGTAGGATAAGGTAAATTACAATACGTAGAAATGGTAAAAGTATACATGTAACAATAACAGTTGAAACATATAATATGGTTAAAAGACATCGTAGACACAAGTAACACAAATTTATGCATACGAATAGATAAATAATGGATAAATAATGAAATAAATAAATAAGTAAATACTAACTAGCTGACACAATGACGGAAACTCGCGCATTATGTACCTATACAATAACGATTAAATTAGTGAACTGGTCATAGTAAAAACTAGATACAGATGTCTATTCGAACAAATGCTTCTTGGGCTTACTAAATCGGTCTGGGTCAACTAGTTATACATAGTATTTCACTATTTATTTATTCCATTATTTATCCTTATTTAACTGTTCACATCAAAATCTGGATGATACAATACAATATTAATAATAGAGGATACAAAGTATGTGAGAGAGACAAACGAGAAACAAATTTTCTTGTATAAACAAGTACTTACAATAATTTGGTTACATTAATTGTCAAGTACTAAATATAAATCTATTTCGATAAAACTTTGTAATCTAGTGTTTCGTTATATCGTGAGAGTACCTTTAAAATAATATTTCTTGCCATTTTCTCAACTATAGTTTATACGCGCCGGAAAAAGTGTATTTTTAGTCGGTTTTAACTTATTCCCCATGGAGGGCATAGATACGAATGTATACTCTACTCCTAGTATGCACTCCTGCTTATGTGTAGGCGTACGAAGAACGATGAAAGTAGTTTTGACATAACAATTGAGTTCAATCGACAAGGAGAAAAACGAGAACATCTAAGATTGATGACCGCGAAAGCAATGATTTTTGAAATTTCAAATGAATAAATACTATATTACATATATGTGATTACCATGTTATATGGGTATTTACTAAACGTGACCGCATTATGGGACACATACAGACTCTATCGATTTAGTGATTTGCAAATGTTAGATAATTTGATGGTCGAAACACGTTCTAGGTTGAGTAGCCAAGAAAGAATGTGTCCGCTAAGAAAAACTGTCAATCTGTTCGAAAATCCGGGACTGCGGTATCAGGCGGTCAGAAATAGATTTGAAGTGCTCTCACAACGAACGGACCGAAATCCTTCTGATTGCTTTAGGATCCTCTGTGTTTGTGGAAGACTCCTGGCGAGGCGAGTAATACTGAAATACGCGCCCATTTCACAGGATAGTAAGCTTGATGGAGGTTTTACACGATGGAAAGCCTGTTGCCGAAATGAACTTTATTTTCTACCTTTGCAATGGGTGAAGTATTCTGTAGAGGCTACAGATAGCTTGTAAAGTATCTAAAGAAAATCATTCGATCGAAAAAAATTGATTTCAGTCCATTAACTATTTAATACATATTAACGTAAATGTAAAATATTAATCCATTAGTTAAAACGTGGCTATTACCGTATGACAGAAAGATTTATAATACATCAATTTTCTTTTGACAAAATATAATAATTAATTACCTTAACTAATTGTAAGTTAAATATACAATATAAAGCAATGATGAATCTAACGGAATATTTCATCGGGAGCTATTGTGGTAGATCACTTAGGTAATGCAGTACCAATCATTTTAAGGATGCTACCGTATCCGTAAATTATTTTATATAGGTTTTATTAAAGGAAATAATACGTAATGATTTGAATTCACTTTTGGGGTTAAAAATTTAACAATTACTTAGGGATTTTGCTTAACAGTAATCCACAAAGCATTTTTATTGAACTCTTTAGTTTTTCTAACACAATATTCTATAATACAATAAGTTACTAAGAGCATTCGATCTGTGTTGGCGAAGTTTTAATATAACATTGTCTAAACATTTTGCTAAATCAAACGAATGATAACGATCAAGACTTAAATGCAATTCTTAGAGATGAGGCATTACTTCAGAGTTGAAGTAAATTCGGGTAATTTCATTTACTAAAGAATATTACTTGCAAATGGAACTGAAACATTTGAAATATTGCTTAATTGATAAATTATTTCTGTCAGATTGAAACTTTTATGGTAGCTTTTCGCTTGAATTACAACTTTGAAAGCCATGGAGTTGAATGAGACGTGCGTATTCATCGCATATTTACCAATGACCTTTTCGACTCATCGCCAGACGAATCGCTTTCTATGTATATCGATCACGGATTCTCAACCAACTATATTCTCCCGCATCACGGTGCGTGGTTTAAAGAGATGGGATATATTCCTTTGAGGATATCATTGAGTGAAGAAAAGGAATAGGCGGTAACATATCAGGAGCACATGCTGAAGGTATCCCAGGAGAATCGAATGGCAGAGCGCAGGCTTCAATAAACCACAAAGGCTGACGGTAGTAGTAGCGGTTGTGGAACTGAATAGAGGGTGGATGCCAGATTGAAGGGTAGCTTGCCGGCATAGACCATAGAAAGTAGAACTTTAGTAGAATTATTACTGAAGAAACCTTGAATGTTTCCCAGTACAGTATATCACTTTGCAAAGGATTCAAGGTATTGAAATTTCTAAGTTGCTGAAAATTAATAAGAACGTCTTATGTTTAATAATTTTTGTAAAAGACGGAGTATGGAGATGACAGAACCTTCAGGTCTAGAAGGGATTTCTTTTACCCATGGATAGCCTAACAGTGTTCCTTAATGCTGTCATATTATAAAAGTATTATTATATATAGTTTTTTTTTTATATTACTTTACTTTGAAAAGT